AATCATGAGCATCATTTTCTTCTGCCATGGTTAGAGATTTATTTCAATGAAAGCTACTTCCCCTGCAGAAACGAAAAAAACATGGTCGTATCTTTGCAACAATGGAATAACAGCTCAAAACTGATTTATAAAAAATCATTTACTTCAATGTTTAGTGTAATTTACTTTCTGTTTAGTTTTATAGATGTTAAAAACTCTGTAGGATTTAGAGTGTAGGGGTAACAAGGTTTAGAAGGTATAAAGTATAGCATATAGGATATAGGAATTACAAGGGTTAGAAAGTAGAGGGTGTAGGGGTTACAAGCGTGACAAGGTGAAAGGTATAAAGAATAGGGGCTACAAGGTAGAGGGTGCCGGGGTAACAATCACAGGGTGTAAGATGTAGGATATAAAGTATACACCTCATGGTGTAGGGTATAGGGTGTCGGGGTTATAAGGATTAGAAGGTATAGGGTATAGCATATAGGATATAGAAGTTACAAGGGTTAGAAGATATAGGGTGTAGGGTATAAGGGTTACAAGGTATAAGGTGCAGGGGTTTACAGGGTATAGGGGTTACAAGGTATAGGTTGTAGGGTATAAGGTATAGGAGTTACAAGTGCAGGGGTTAGAGATTATAGGGGTTACAAGGTATGGGGTATAGAAGTAACAAGGTATAGGAAGTTGGAGTTTCAGGATATAGGGGTTACCAAGTATGGGGTGTAGGCGTTACAGGGTGTAGGCGTTACAGGGTATAGGGTGTAATGGTTACAAGGTATAAGAGTTACAAGGTATAGGGTGTAGGGGTTACAGGGTATAGGGGTTACAAGGTATAGGGTGTAGGGGTTACAAGGTATAGGAGTTAAAAGGTTTAGGGTGTAGGGGTTACAGGGTATAGGGGTTACAAGGTATAGGGTATAGGGTATAGGGGTTAAAAGGTATAAAGTTTAGGGGTTGCAGGGTATAGGGGTAACAGGGTATAGGGGTTAAAAGGTATAGGGTGTACGGTTTACAAGGTATAAGAGTTACAAGGTATAGGGTGTAGGGGTTACAGTCTATAGGAATTACAAAGTATAGGGTGTAGGGGTTACAAGTTATAGGGGTTACGAGGTATAGGGTGTAGGGGTTACAGGGTATAGGGACTACAAAGTATAGGGTGTAGGGTATAGGGGTTACAAGGTATAGGATACAGGTTATAGTGGTTACAAGGTATAGGGTTCAGGGTATAGGTGTTACAAGGTATAGGGTGTTGGGGGTTAAGGGTATAGGGGTTACAAGGTATAGGGTATAGGGTGTAGTGGTTACAGGGTATAGGGGCTCCAAGGTATAGGGTATAGGGGTTAAAAGGTGTAGGGTGTAGGGGTTACAGTGTATAGGGGTCAAGGGTATAGGGGTTACACGGTATAGGGTGTAGGTTAACAACGTTTAGGGTGTAGGGTATATGGGTTGCAAGGTATAGGGTGTAGGGTATATGGTATAGACAGAAAACAAGTTTATTAGCACATTAGAACTTGGATGTATCAGAGATATAAAATACATATTAAGGAGTTTATGGATTCAGGGTAAATACATGGAAATCGATTGAAAAATATATGAAGCAATGAAAGTATGTGTAAATTTTATATATTGGTTTCAAGAGAAGGGAATTACATAAACAAGGCATACAATGTTATTGCCCACGTGCTTTTTACATACAGATATAACAGAGTCAATTGCAGTTAAATGTTCACTGGAAAGACTAAGCAAGAACAATAATACCAAAGAAAGTTAACCATAAACTAAATATATTCAACCGTAATAGTCAAAAGGTATCAATTTTGAAATCTGAACTTACCAGTTTTGAAATGCAGCCCTTCAAGCGGAAGTATGGTATACACATGCGCAGATCTAAGTTGAATACTAACCCTTACACCTCTACCAATGTATCTCCTATACCTTATAACCCCTACACCCTATACCTTGTTACCCCTATACCCTATACCCAACACTCTTTACCTTGTAACCGCGATACCCTTCACCCATTACCTTGTAACCCCTATACCCTATACCCTACACCCTATACCTTGTAACCCATATACCCGATAAACTACACCCTATACCTTGGAACCCCTATACCCTACACCCTATACCTTATAACCCCTATACCTTGAAACCCCTATACCTTATAACCCCTACACCTTCTAACCCCTATACCTTGTAACCCCTATACCTTATAACACCTATACCTTATAACCCCTACACCTTGTAACCCCTATACCCTACACCCTATACCTTGGAACCCCTATACCCTATACCTTGTAACCCCTATACCTTATAACCCCTATACCTTGTAACCCCTATACCTTATAACCCCTATACCTTGTAACCCCTATACCTTATAACCCCTATACCTTATAACCCCTACACCTTGTAACCCCTATACCCTACACCCTATACCTTGTAACCCCTATACCCTATACCCTATACCTTGTAACCCCTAACCCCTACCTTATAACCCCTACACCTTATAACCTCTACACCTTGTAACCGATTTACCCTACACCTTATACCTTGTAACCCCTATACCCTATACCCTATACCTTGTAACCCCTATACCTTATAACCCCTAAAACATGTAACAGATATACCTTGTAACCCCTATACCTTATAACCCCTACACCTTGTAACCCCTATACCCTACCCTATACCTTGTAACCCCTATACCCTATACCATATACCTTGTAACCCCTATACCTTATAACCCCTATACCTTGTAACCCCTATACCTTATAACCCCTATACCTTGTAACCCCTATACCTTGTAACCCCTATACCCTACACCCTATACCTTGTAACCCCTATACCCTATACCCTATACCTTGTAACCCCTATACCTTCTAACCCCTATACCTTGTAACCCCTATACCTTATAACCCCTATACCTTGTAACCCCTATACCTTACCTTGTAACCCCTATACCTTACACCTTAACCCCTACCTTGTAACCCCTATACCCTATACCCTATACCTTGGAACTCCTATACCCCATACCTTGTAACCCCTATACCTTGTAACCCCTACACCTTATAACCCCTACACAATATAACCTATACCTTGTAACCCTTATACCCTACACCCTATACCTTGGAACACCTATACTCTACACCCTATACCTTGGAACCCCTATACCCTATACCTTGTAACCCCTATACCTTATAACCCCTATACCTTGTAACCCCTATACCTTATAACCCCTATACCTTAACCCCTGAACCTTGTAACCCCTATACCCTACACCCTATACCTTGTAACCCCTATACCCTATACCCTATACCTTGTAACCCCTATACCTTGTAACCCCTATACCTTATAACCCCTACACCCTGTAACAGCTATACCTTGTAACCCCTATACCTTATAACCCCTATACCTTGTAACCCCTATACCTTATAACCCTATACCTTAACCCCTATACTCTACCTTGTAACCCCTATACCCTACACCCTATACCTTGTAACCCCTATACCTTATAATCCCTACACCTTGTAACCCCTATACCTTGTAACCCCTATACCTTATTACCTATACCTTGTAACCCCTATACCTTGTAACCCCTATACCTTATAACCCCTATACCTTGTAACCCCTATACCTTATAACCCCTATACCTTATAACCCCTACACCTTATACTCTACACCATATACCTTGTAACCCCTATACCCTATACCCTATACCTTGTAACCCCTATACCTTATAACCCCAACACCTTATAACCCCTACACCTTGTAACCCCTATACCCTACACCTTATACCTTGGAACCCCTGTACCCTATACCCTATACCTTGTAACCCCTATACCTTATAACCCCTATACCTTGTAACCCCTATACCTTGTAACCCCTATACCTTATAACCCCTACACCTTGTAACCGCTATACCTTGTAACCCCTATACCTTATAACCCCTATACCTTGTAACCCCTATACCTTATAACCCCTATACCTTGTAACCCCTATACCTTATAACCCCTATACCTTATAACCCCTACACCTTGTAACCCCTATACTCTACACCATATACCTTGTAACCCCTATACCCTATACCCTATACCTTGTAACCCCTATACCTTATAACCCCTACACCTTATAACCCCTACACCTTGTAACCCCTATACCCTACACCATATACCGTGGAACACCTATACCCTATACCCTATACCTTGTAACCCCTACCCTATACCTTGTAACCCCTATACCTTGTAACCCCTATACCTTATAACCCCTACACATTATAACCTCTAAACCTTGTAACCCTTTTACCCTACACCCTATACCTTGTAACCCCTATACCCTATACCCTATACCTTGTAACCCCTATACCTTGTAACCCCTATACTTTATCCCCTATACCTTGTAACCCCTATACCTTGTAACCCCTATACCTTATAACCCCTATACCTTGTAACCCCTATACCCTACACCCTACCTTGTAACCCCTATACCTTATAACCCCTATACCTTAGGGTTATTGTAACCCCTATACCTTATAACTCCTATACCTCCTAACCCCTGAACCTTGTAACCCCTATACCCTACACCCTATACCTTGTAACCCCTATACCCTATACCCTATATGGGTTAGGGTTAGGGTTAGAGTTAGGGTTAGGGTTAGGGTTAGGGTTAGGGTTAGGGTTAGGGGTTAGGGTTAGGGTTAGGGGTTAGGGTTAGGGTTAAGGGTTAGGGTTAGGGTTAGGGTTAGGGTTAGGGTTAGGGTTAGGGTTAGGGTTAGGGTTAGGGTTAGGGTTAGGGTTAGGGTTAGGGTTAGGGTTAGGGGTTAGGGTTAGGGTTAGGGTTAGGGTTAGGGTTAGGGTTAGGGTTAGGGTTAGGGTTAGGGTTAGGGTTAGGGTTAGGGTTAGGGTTAGTGTTAGGGTTAGGGTTAGGGTTAGGGTTAGGGTTAGGGTTAGGGTTAGGGTTAGGGTTAGTAGTAGACCTGTCCTCTTGATCAAGAAGACTTGATCATGTTACTAAAAATAAATTTTATTTTCCGTTGACTATAAATAGAATTTTCTGCGCATGCATTTTGTTCATCTATTTTTATATGAATTGCTCATATACTGTTTCATTGACTTGACGCCATATTGACTACTACTTTGAAAGGATTTATACATTTATTTTCATTTAATGAGGTAGGTTATTTGATTTTTACTATATTTCTATAATATACACTGTACGGAAAAATGTATATTGAATTTGATGTATTTTTTAAAAATAACAGAAAGGGAGATCTATATGATTATCTCCAAATGAAAACTTATGTTGTTAATCTGAAGGCCGTCCACATTCACAATGTGAGCATCACAGAGAGAAATCCATAATTTTGCTATGAAATTGCGATTGAAAAACCCTAATTAAATAAATATTTTAATTATAATGGAATGTTTATTTTTTAAAAATATTGAACATTGCCTTACTTCAACATGTTTCGTTATTGAGTATATTTATACGTTATTATATAATAATCTTTTAGCAAAACAACTTACACAACAATCCACAAGCTATTTATCATAACCAATAGGTTGTAACCGCTACAGTCTATTCCCTATTCCCCATAACCGACACCCTACAGCCTATGCTTTGTAACCCCTACACCCTATACCCTATATTTCTAACCCCTACACCCTACACCCTATACCGTACACCCTACACCCTTTACATTGTAACCCCTACATCCTATACCCCATACCCTATACCTTAAACAAAATACCCTTTACTCTATAGCTTTTACCTTATACCTTATGCCCTACACCCTTTACCTTGTAACCCCTACACCCTATACCATATACCCTATACCTTACAGGCTACACCCTATACCCTTCACCCAACATCTTATATCCTAAAGGCTACACCCTATACCTTGTAACCCCTATACCCTAGACCTTGTAACCCCTACGCCCAATACCTTACACCATATACCCTATACCCTGCACCCTATACCTTATACCCTAAACCCTTTACCTTGTAACCCCTACACCCTATACCATGTAACCCATACACCCTACAACCCATACCCTATACGCTACACCCACACCCTAATCCCTGTACCTTATAACCCTTACACCCTATACCTTGTAACCTTACCCCATCTTTCTTACACCCTACACTCTATACCTTACACCCTATTCCTCACTACATGATACACCCTATACCTTGTAACCCCGACGCTTTATACCCTATACCCTACAGCCTGCACCCTAAATCCTATACCTTGTAACCCCACCCCCTACAGCATATACCCAACACTCTTCGACCTAAACCCTATACCTTATAACCATTATACCTTATACCCTATGCTTTGTAACCTACACCCTATACTCTATACCTATACCTCATTTACACCCTATACCCTAATCATTTTAACTTTTACACATTATACCTTTCACCCTAATTTCTATAACCCAAACCTCTCAGTCGCATAGTCTAAGCCTTAAAGCCCCTAAATTTTATTTTTTGTTAAACCTATACCTTACACCCTAAATCCGCTACCACAGGGTTACAATGTAACCCCTACACCATACAGCCTATCCTATGTTACACTTACATTATGATATCATTTCTAAAATCCATTAGTGAGGTTAAAGGTTCGCTCTTTAAGCACAAAATATTTCTTTAAATACAAACAAAAAGGTTTACTTTATTTCATTTATTTTATAGGTAATCAGTATGGATCCGTTATCAGAAAACGGTTATCAGCAGGAAGAATCTTTTCTGAAAGTTGCAAAGGAGAATTCGATATCTTTTTGTTCGACTTTCTTAAAATATAAGGACGTACATTCATTTCTGCATCGGTCTGAAGGAGGATTTATATCAACGCGCTGTGTTAATGCTACGTTTGGAGAAATATATTGTTTAATGCAGAGCAATCTCGACATTGACGGAGTTGTACTGGAGATGAAGGCATTGACGGCTATCAAATTCCCAGTTTTTTACATGAACCTTTTACCAAGAGGTGATGGTAGTATTATATCCATGTACCCGATTCTTAAGAAGCACATAGATATAACTCAATATCAGAGAACTTCATTTTCTTTATTAAAAATGTGCAATGGTATACAACTTTTCAGTTCATTTGGGTGGCAAGTGAATTTAGCGCTGATACCACTACCAAATATAGATTCATCTTTTGACCTGCCCAGTGCTTTAAACTACAAATTGTTTGCAAACCAGTACTTTAATCGAGTAAAGTCCACCTTCCAAAACAATCTTCTGAAATTATCACCAAAGGAATTGTGTAAAGACACTTTTAAGAAGAATTCGATCTTTGACGTTTCAAAATGGAGGGTTTTGGCAAAAGATCAATCCTTTGTCATGGCCATATTAGATAAGACTTTGATTGCATGTCAGGCTCCTCCGCATCATCGAATTTCCATTGTAGCTTTTCGTTTTGGAGAGAGAGATTCCGTTCAAATCCAACTTGCAACTGATTTTTGCCTTGAACTAGTTACATCTCTTACCACCCATATTGCCGTAACATTCAAGAGCATAGATGACAAAATTCACTTTTTCTGGTCACGTGACGGAATTCAGAAGCTTGTAGGCTTTCGAGGATCATTACTTCCAGTCCTTTCCTTTAGAGATTGCTGCAATTTTCAAACAAATTTAGATGGTCGTCCAAACGATATCTCGGATGAACTGAGGAATGTGTGCATGCATCCCAATAATTTGAGATTTTTGCAATTATACGCAGATTCGCCCCACATGCATTGCAGCGCTAAGCATCCTCTATCTGGTCTTATAGCGACATGTAATTTACTGCATCCTAAATCAACTGCTCACCTTTCCCGACTTTCTGATGATTATCTCTCTGTATGTCGTGAAAACTGCCATAAATTAGGAGAAGCCATGCCAATGCGTCTCGAAGTTGTTGTGTCCTTGGACGATATTCCGTCAGTGCTGATTGCAAAGGAAATAATTAACCTAGAACATTTAGAATTACTTATGGATAAGTATCCTATGGTTGTGCCTTTTCAAGAAACGGTAATATATTGCGGTCAAAGATTAAGTTTTATTTCTTTCATAAA